ACTGCATAACTCATACTTGTCAAGGTGGTTGTACAGCAAGTAAGACTTAAGCCTTTGAAGTTACACCTTGAGTTAAAGGTGATCAGACAGCCATTACAGACTTGAAAATCCATTTCATTTAATGAAATGCTTTAACTATTAAATAGGAAGTTATGCAATAGCAAACAAGTCATGTGAGTTAAGAACTCAAATAAGAGTCAATTCTTGGATTTGGGCACTTCTAAAGGGACAGTTCACCAGTCAATGTTTTTTTGAGACTTAATAGATGATTTGGAAATAAATGTATGATCTCTATTGATAAAATCTGCAGATGATGTAAAAAATGAGTACTGCAAAAAACAGTCATAAAGATAGGATAACAATGGAGAAAACACTGTAAGGCTATTCGAGTAGATTTTGTCTTAAAGCAGTCAAGGGCAAATTTACACTCTTGGGGAAAATGAAAGCATGTAACTCCTCCAAAGAGGACTGTACCAAAAAAACCCCCAAAATCCAAACCCAAATTAAATCTGAAAAGAAATTTACTGTATTAATGTGCAAGCAGCTTAATTTGTTTAGGAACCACTGCTTTAGACACTAAAATACAGAGCTAGCCCAGCCATGTAAAGTTTGCAGTTTAAAACATAACAGATCTATACAGGTTTGGGGGAAACGGATGCTGTTCATGTGAGACAGTAAATAATGCCACTGGTACCATAGCCACCCCCCCTTTTTTTTTTTTTTTGAGGCTTGAAGGGAATAGGAAAAAGAATATAGAACAAGTTCACAAAATGTATCTGAAGATTGGAAGAAATATTTTGCAATGAGAAATGCAGAACTTCTGTAGTGATAAGACAGAGGGTAAGAGCTTTAAACTAAAAGCAGGTAAATTCAGACTAGATATAAGGAAGCGATTTTTTACAATAAGGGTGGTGACACGCTTGAATAGGTTGCTCAGAGAGGTGGTAGATGCCCCATCCCTGGAAACATTCAAGGTGAGGCTGGATGGGACTCTGGGCAACCTGATCTAGCTGAAGATACCCCTGCTAGTTGCAGGGTATTTGGACTAGATGATCTTTGAAGGTCCCCTCCAACCCAAACCTTTCTATGATTGTAGGATTCTATGAAGTCTAATTGCTAAGAAGGTTGTGAAGTGATCTGATTATTGATATAGTACATTGACTGAGTAAAAAATGCTGGATACTAAAAAGGGTTTTGATTGTCTAGGGGTAAGGCACAATAACACCACCACCAAAGCTAGTAGCTTTAAACTGCAACAGATAATTCCAAATGAAAGTAGGCATATGCTTTTAGTGATGAAAATTACTAGCAAGTGAAATTACAGAGTGGTAGCTTTTCCAGTGTGTTACAATTTACTCAGCTTGTGCAACAGATTTCATTGGAGGCCAGTGTGAAGTTACTTGTCATATGTAAGCGAGCAGAATTAATGGTCCTTCATGGCCTTAAATGTCATGAGTGTGAATATATAGTGGATGAAAGTTGCAAAACAGAAATCTGTCAAAGGCTATTAAACACAAAGCCAACACCTCTGTCACTGTGTCTGAATCACAAATCACTGTGAGCTAGGAAAGCATCCAGGGAGGTATCACTATATGTTTACCCTTTTTGTATGATCTTTTCTATGCATTCACTGTTGGCCACTGTCAGGTAAAAGAGTCAGGTGTACTTAGGATTTTACTCTGTACCACCATTATTGTGGCATTATCTGCAAAAAAAGGATCAGATCTTTTTCAAGGATATGCTTTAGTTCAGTCAGAAAGGATAAACTATGTGAGGACCATGGGCTTCATGGACTACAGTGGGGTCATGGATTGGCCAGGAAGACAAATTACCACAATTGTCATCTTTTACCCTGTAGAACTGGGAAATGCATAACCTCAGTAGGTGTGTGTTGTGCCTGCAGCTGTGCTTATCCTGTCATGCTCCAGGTGAGTGTACTTTTGTGTGTACTTCACTTTCTTTGGGCTCCACATCACTGGGTATGTTTCTTCTTTGTCTTCAGTTGTAATACGGGTATGTGGGATGGGTAGTTTGCTCCATTGGATGTCCTGGTCAAGTTACTTATCCTGTTGGAATAATCTTTGTGGATCCCAGAGAAACATGTACAAAATGTGTTACAAACAGAGGAAGCTTTTGTCCCAGCTGCATTTTTAACTTCAAGAAACAGACTCGCCATCTTCTCGCCTACAAAGGAGCTGCCACTCTATCCCTAACTGAAAGGTATACTTAAAAAAAAACCTAAACCAACACAAAACCCCAAACAAAATGCAGATGTTGTAAACTCAGATACTGTATCTGATCATGGTATCCACCAACCTTCTCCAAGGCTGCAGTGTAAGTGATATGACTCCTGTGTGAGGGGAGTGTACAGCCTATCTCATCTGGGCAACCTGCATGGGGTGGTTTCCCCCTTCTCACTTGGCAGTGCTAAGCAGCTTGGTTGTATCTGTGTAGTCCCTAGGATGGCTGCGCTTGTCTCAGCCACAGCTGACAGGAAACTGAATTTTCTCCCTCCAAAGTGATTCACAGCCAATTGCTAAGCACTTTGGAGAGTGCAAAACAATCCCTTGCAGATGCTCTAGTCTGTTCCACAGAAGGTTTGGATTTGCTGGTTGCCAGATCAGATGACCAGATACAGTGTATGATACAATCTCATCAACAGGTTCACATTTCCCCAGGAAAAGAGAGGGATTCTTGCTCAGCAGACTCCTCCATTCTTAACTCCAGCATGAAGACTTCTGAGAAACTTGCTCTCTTCTACCTTGTCTTAAGCATTTCCTTGTCACACATCCATCACAAAGTGTATGTTACAGTACTGCAGTACAGGTGGGATGCAGGCTGATACCTTCATCTCCTGTTATGAGTCCCCAGCCTGAGCTGCTACAGATGCTTTCTGGCAACACTATCTTAGGGCTTGTCCCTTACAAGTCACCTTAGCCAAGACAATCACCCTCTCTTCCATTCCTCTTTCAGATTGTCTTTCCTAGCACATTATTTTCTAAACACGCATGCTAAAGCGTTTCTTCCAGGATGCTCAAGGGTGGCAGTTTCCGGATTACAGGTAACACAAATACTCATTTTCCATTTACAATAGTGTTTTTCTAGTGCAAGTAGATGTGAAAAAAAGCAAATGCAACACACATGAAAAATGCAGGCTGAAAAAGCTGAAATAGCGTAAACATGTAGCCCCCATTTAAAAATACCCAGTGAGACATAAATCTATATACCTCATAATCTTCACAAGATTTTACTTCAGCTTTTAGATTTACACCCTTTTGGAACACTTGGGAATTAGCGGAATTGCTTGGCTTCTGCTCACAGAATCACAGAATCAACTAGGTTGGGAAAGACATTCAAAATCATCAGCCATTGCCCTAGGATTGCCAAGTCCAGCACAAAAACATGTCACTAAGGGCCTAATCTACACAGTTTTTGAACACTTCCAGGGATGATGGTTCCACCACTTCCATGGGCAGCCTATTACAATGCCCGACTACCCTTTCAGGGAAGAAATTTTCCATAATACCGAGTTTAAAACTCATTTGGAGCAGCTTGATGCTGTTTCCTCTTGTCCTATCACTTGTTACTGCGGAGAAGAGATCAGCCACCACCTCGCTACAACCTCCTTTCAGGTAGTTGTGGAAAGCAGTAAGGTTCCCCTGAGCCTTCTCCAGACTAAACAACCCCAATTCTCTCAGCTGCTCCTTATACGACTTGTGCTTATCTGCTACTCCTCTTCAACTGAGTTGTTTTCTTTCATTGCTTTTTCACAACTCCTTGGAGCATCACTCAGAGTTATTTGCTTTCAGTGCTCATCCTCTACAACCCCCCATCGTCATCTCTCATTGTTTGCAGTGCTCCTTCAACTTAGGTCAGACTCTCTTCAGTGCTTCTTCAAGTTACTATTTGAAAGTGTACTTCATAAATATCTTCCATTGGATATCCATGAAATATATTTCTCAGTACGACGGTCGCGGCACAACAAACCCACTGCCCGCCGAACCCTGCATCCTCATCCTCCCAGGAGCTTCTATCTCCTTAAGAGAAAGGTGTGCAGAAGAACATGCAAATACAGGATACTAACTCTGGGTATAGGCCAGGTTTGGATTTGAAATGTCACGCATACTTCAGAGCTTCCCCCAAACCCCGTTCACTCCCGAGACACGGGCATTGCGGCTCACAGCACCACCGAAACTCTCATGGACTCTTGGTAAATCCCGGCCGCACAGCTCCGCTCAGCCGGACACGCCCTTGAGTTGTGTGTACTGAGAGCCGGGGCCCTCCCGCCACCGCCGGCATCACCCCGCTGCCAGGTGGGGCCGCGGGGCGGGCTGCGGGCGGTCGCTACTGCCCAACGGCAGCCTGGGCGTGGGCTCTGTGGCGGAGCCCAACCCGCAGGGCTGGATAGAGCGGGGCCGGGACGGATGGCGGCGCACGGAGGCGCTGTGGTAGTGAAGGGGGCTACGGCGCCGGGTGAGGGGAGCTGTGACGGCAGGGGGCGGTGTTGAGGGTGGGGGCTGTAGCGAGGGAGAGTTTGAGGGTGAGGGGCGCTCTGGGGGCGTGCGGCTGTGGCGGCGGGCTCGGGAGCTGTGATAGCGAAGGAGTGCTCTAGCGGCGGGCTCGGGGCGCTGGGGCTGTGGTGAGTGAGGGGAGCTATACTGGTGAGAGGCGCTCTGGAAAGCGAGGGGCTGCGGCGGGCTCGGGTCGCTCTGGTAAGGGGGCTGTGGCGGTGAGGGGCGGCTCTCTGGCGGCTTTGGCGCCGGGGCTCGTTAGCGGCAGGGAGCTGGGGGCCGCAGCGGCGGGAACGGACTGCGGCGGCAGAGCTGTGGCAGCGGACCGCAGCCCGTCCAACGCTCTCCCGACAGTGCCGTGGAAACCGCCCGCGGGCTGGAGCGAGCTCCACAGCGGCAGCAGCGCTGGGGTGAGCCGCGGGGCTGCAAAGGTCCGGGCGCTGCCCCCGCCCGTCCGCGGGAGGAGCTCCGCTTCGTGCCGCCCCCGCAGGGCTGGGAAGCGGGTGCAGGGACCGCGGGTACGCAGTCCACCTGTCCCCGAAGCCGCGGTAAAGCACAGCAGAGCCGGAGGAGCGGTCGCTCCCGCACCGGCACCCCCTCCCGCGGCGGTGAGGGCGCTGTGGCTCTCCCGTCCCAGTCCCGCGCTGCTGCCGCTGCTGCGCGGGCGGCGAGCGACGCGCACTTTGCAGACGGTCCCTGCGCCGCTCTCCGCAGAGCCGCGCAGGCGCCCCGCGCCCGGTGCTGGGACGGCGGACCCGGTGCGAGCGGGAGAGCGGAGCGGAGCGGCTGGGAGGAGCATGGACGGGATGGTGAGCGTTGCCCCCGGTCCCGCCGCCCCGCGCCCCGGGCTGCCGTGCGGTTCGACCTAGCGGCGGCACTTGCCATGGCTCCGCCCTGGGCACCTGCGGGAGCTCTGGCTGCGGGACACCTCCGCCCGCGCATCGCGCCCAGCCGGCGGCATCCTCGGGTCGGGCACCCACACCGGCTGCTGGCGGTGCTCCCGACCCGGCGCTGCCCACAGGGCACGTCTGGCCGGGCAGCGGACCCTGCGCTTCCGCTGTTCCGCACGGCTCCTCCGCGGAGCCGGGGGCTCGAATACCCTCACCGCTCTCTCCGTGCTTCCCTTAGCGTTCGGCGTTGCGCCGGTGTGGCCGCCCACCTGGGTCCCGCCGGTTGTCCTAGCGCATGCCCCCGCATCCTTGGCGAAGCTGTGGTGGCTTTGGTACCTCCCAGGGACCCACCTGGCTTGGAGAGGCAGGCAAAGATGGGAAGCCCAATACCTATTTACCACTCCCAAATGCAGGCTGCAAGTGCCTGCGGGAGGCTTTCCCTCAACAGGGACTGGCCTGACTTTCCCATAGGAGACACCAGCACTCGTCTGGAATTGCCCAGCTGTCCCTTGCATGGTCCTCTGGAGAGGAGGGTTCACTTCTTAATACCATGTCTCCTGGAGACACCCCAGTCTTGTTCTGTGACTGACAGCTGTCTCCAGTGCTCCAGAACAACCAGCCTTCATGCAGGAGATAACACCTTTTGAGAGAGAGCATTTTTCTTGCTGCATCTAAGCTGCTCTCAGCTCTGTTTTCAGAGGGAGATACATAGACCCAGAAACTCTCTCAGGGCAAACTGATCTGTATCTGTAGGATATTAATGGTCTGCACGGTCTTCCAGAAGATCTTTTTGACTTCCTCCACAGACAAATCTTTTCACTTTGGCAGCAGGAGCTTGTTGGGGATTGCTGTTCCCTGGGGCCTGAAACTCCTCCGTTTCGTCTATCAGCATGGCCTGTGGAGGGACCCTCTGTGCAAGTTGCTGCTGGGAAAGCCTGAGGTAGAAATTAAACGGGGAACTGAGAAGAAAGCAAGTTCGGCATGATCTGGGGGTGTGTTTGTACAGTATCCTTGCCTAGTGCTGTCATCACTGCCTTTCTTGGAGAGACTGGCTTCATACTGCTGCCCATCCAGGGGAGTCCTGCAGCTTCTGAAAATAACTAGTTCCTTGTTGCTGCCTCAGGAGCAATTGGCAACCTGCTGTTTACCATGGGGACACCATCATGAAGAGCCAGCCCATCTTTCCTGGCAGAATCTCCTGCCCTCTGTGAGGAAGAAGCGTGCAGCCTGGCCTTGCCCCTACAGCAGGGTGAGGTTCCCAACATTGTCAGCCTCTGGTTGCCTCCTTTTCTGCAGTGCTGCAGTGATGTGCCTTTCTGTACCCTGTGCACTCCCCTGGCCCACTCCTCACTTGTAGTGCCTCCACTGCTGTGTTATGCCTCAGCCACTGCTTTTCTAGAACCTATCCTTCCTTGACTTCAGCTCTATTTTAGCACAATTCACCATGATCTTCTTTATGCCCTTTGTTCTTCCTTTGTTTTGACCCTGCTGGACCTAGAGCCTTGTTACTATCCCTAATGGAGTTGTCTGGTCTTTGCTCTCATTCTTCAAAGTGCCAGTCACCGGCACTGCCTAGGCTAGCACTGTAATGCTTTCTTGTGTATCCATTCTTTCAGCAGTTGCTTCTAACTGCATGAGTAGGTATGAGCTTACACCCGTGAATGCTATGAGTGCTGGTGTTCGCTTCTGTTCTGCTGTAATGCTTCTTTTCTTTTTCAGCTGCAGTACAGAGCTGTCAGAAGAAGCAGTGCTTTGTATACAGGTGCAGCTGGCTCAGCTGTTCGCAAGGAGCAACTCCCTTTTCTTTCTTACCTTGGCTTATCTTCTGTGGGACCTGTCATGAATATGCAGACACTGAAGCTGCCTGCCTATACCCTAAATGTGGGGGATCATCAGTTCTTCCACTTTGCAACACTCTCACCATCCTACCGGGGCATCTGATAATGCCTTCTGAAATGCTGGAGTATTCTGATAGCCTTTAAGGATTTGATTTTTGAAGAATGAAAGCAAGGTGACTCAGTTAAAGTTCCTGAACTGGCCTGCTTTCCCAAGGATTACCAGATATGTGTGATGGCAAAAACATAACTGAGAACATCTGTGTAAGAAGATAGCCTGGTGTCTTGATTAAACCAGGCAAATTCCAGGGAGCTCTTCCAATCTTAACTATCCTATAGTTCTTATTAGAGCATGCCTTAACATGTTGACAGGTTGTAGGCAAGTGGTGTACTTTCTTCATGTTTTTTCTAATCTCTGCAAATACAAGCTGGCTCCCATCTGTAAGGATGGCCTAATGCCTTGGCAAAAGTACTGCCCTGTCAATGTGGACATGCATCTGTGTGCAGCTGTTTGCAGAGAAGTCCCTAATCACTGTCAGTTGCATCTTTTCTTGACTGCGTTTTCCCTCTTCTTTCTTTTTCCTTCATTTGTGCTGCTTATGAAGTGTCACATGGGTTGGTGCTGTTCTAGGAAATTTTATTTATACTGTGTGTTACTTCCCTCTCACTCAGTATGTACTTTCTCTTTTCAGAGCTGGGTCCAAGTGCATCCTCAGCCTGCTGTCTTAGAGCTGTTCCTGCTTCAGGTCAATGAGACTATCTGCTGCTAATTCATCATGACATAATATGTGGTCTCCAGCCCCATCCTGTTGGATAAATTTCCTGCTTCCTCTTGGTCTATACACATGTGACTCCAGGTGTTCATCAGCTACCCAGCCTGGTACAGGTATGTTTTAGCCCTTTGAAAAATGACCTGTTCTAGGTGGGAAGAATGTGTCTGTGCTTTGTGTTGGAACTAGAAAATGTTTGGCTTTGGATAAATGGGAAATGTTATTTTGTGAAATAAATCCTGAACTGCCCGCTTGCTGCTGTTGACCTAAGCCGGTCCTTTTACTAGCCAGCTGCTTCTGTGATAGTTTCTGCTAGTGCTGACAGGGAGGGTGCTGATTAGCCAGAGTAGACTGACTCAGAGCAAATAATGTTAGAGAATGCAGTTGCTAAAAGCAGGCCTAATAGAGGAAAGAATGAAGAGTAGTGGTAGTAACAGGTATTCTTTGTGGTAATTCATTACTCTATTAGCTACGAGTAAATGTGATTAGTTCTTGTCAGATGGTTATTGATTTGTAGGGCTACCAGTCTTCTCTCAGCAGGTTTAAATTAGCATGGTTAGCTCTTCCCAGCTGTCAGACTTCTGCAGTACCTGCTGTTGCTGGGTATGTATTGGTCATCTCCATGATAAGGTACTCAAATCTGCCACTCATATCTTTATTTCCTACCATTCCTCTTGTTGCTTCCGCTGGTGAATATCTACCTGTATCCCTCTGTTTTTCTCCCAAGTCAATACACAGTATGCCTGTAAGGGACTTTGTTTTTCCCACAGCTGGATCAGTTCCTTTTAACCTTTTACATCCTGCCCAGGTCACTTCACTGGTAGCACAAATTGTCTGGTAGAAAAATGCGTTCTATTTTGCATTGGGAATAAATAGCCTAGCTTCTTTTTTTTTTAAATATATTTTTTATTTTATTTATTTTAAGACACATTAGCCTTGTTATTGTCGTCTGATTTGGCCCTTTAACAACCATATTGCCTAGCCTGCTGCAGTACAGTTAGGAGCTTTGCCCAGTACCTACTACCTCTGCCTTTTTGATTCTGTGAGCTAGGGAAAGTATGTTACTAGTCATCCAATCATAACTTATATGAATTTAAGAACTGTGTTAGGCTGAGACAGACCAAAGTATCCTGTCTCTGACTGGTAACGGGTATGTGAAAAAGGAATAGAAAGGTGAAGCAAATGCTGAATAGTCTTTTATTTCTTTCACATACCTTTCAAGTTTTTGCTGTCATCTAAATTATGGAGTCAGCATAATTTTTTTGGATAAACAATGTTAGAAAATTCCCCAAAGTTGTAGGTCTGCTATTTCAATGTTATCTTCATTGGAAGGAGTTGTTTCAGTTTTCTGTGATTGACTTTTCTGTGATTATGTTTTGTGTTACTGTTATGTCCTTTTCTGTTCAGTTGAAAGTTCTCTTGGACTCTGAGTGCGGAGAGAACTATAGGGCCATTCACTGTGGCATGTTCTTAATGGTACTGGGTACCTGTATCCAGCTCGCAGCTGTTGCTGAGTAAGGGTGTGGCTTTTAGAAAGGTAGTTTGGTAGTTCTCGTTTAGGTTCCAAATGACAGAAGACTCTGGTATGGGTGACAGGTAGCTGGCATAGGGAGAGATTGGACAAAAAGGGCATGACTGCAGATGCTTGGCAAAAGAAATTAAAAGGAGAATAATAACTTGCTCAGCAGGAAGTGCTTTTGTGATTTTTACTTGTGTTTGCACTTATGGATGGTGTTGGGTTTGAGGGGACCACTGAATGCCAGGCAGCAAATGTGGCCAAAGGGTTTTTTTAGTTGATGTCTAGGAAAGTTTCTTTCCTTTTCGCTTCTGGCACCCAACTCCATTTCTTTCTGTTCCTGTAAATACCACATGCCATCCATGTTCTCTATACTGACTAAATTGTTAAGACGCCTTTGATGTTAAAGTTAATTCAGGATAAACCTGCTAATGTATATTCCTGCAGAGAATGCACAACCCTTCCTGAAATCAGAAGAATTTACGTATTAAAACTCCTTTAGGTTTTTGATGAAAGGCAAGGTGTTAAGTTCAACCTTCAATACTTGTAACTTGGAGTGCAGTCCTCTTCCAGTGCAGTATTGCCACAAGTCATTTTCAAACACAGTACTTGGGCTAATGCCTGGAATTTGCTGGTCTCCCTTTAAATTGAATAGCATTCTAGGAATTTAGCTTTTCTGGAAAGTTGTGGTTGGAGTAATTGAATGGTGCTTAATTTAAAATGTGAAGGATTAAGAGTTCTAGTATCATACCATGGGAGTTATCCAGGTTTTTAGTTTATACAGAAGTGTCCTAAGTGCCTAGAAACAAGCAAATAACTACAACTTGCATGATTTTTCTTCTAGCTCACACACTTATCGCTGTGTTCTTCATGACACTTTCATAATGTAGACAGTGGCTAATAGGTCTTGTTCAGGAAATGTTACTCAGAGATCATCAAGTGAGATATGTCTGATTTTCATGAATTGACAGTCCGAGATGCCCTTGTCAGATGTTTCTGATACTCGCCGAGTAAATATGAAAATGACAATGCTATGGTCATTCTTGTACCTGGGTGTATTGATAGCACTGGGGCCTCAGTGCTGCATGAGAGTCCCATGAATTTTTATAGAAAGATGTTTTGATTTTCTTTCTATTTCCTAAAACAATCTCTATTAATTGGTTCCAATGTTTGAAAGACAAACTTTACTTTATGGCCTTTGATAGTCCAATGGTCTTTACTATTTTGTACTCTTAACTGTAATTATGAGGTCTGTGTTTGGCTATGGTAGTTGTCCAAAGCTAGGGATAGAAGCATTTCTCTTTGAACATAATTAACACCATGTCTTAAATGAAAGCCTTTAGCTTGAATGAAGAGTTTGCTTGCTTCAGGAAGGTCAGTTTCAGTCTAATCAACATTGTATCTTTCACTTTTTACCCCAAAATTCAGCACACTTATTCTCTGTTGTGAAATAATTTTACTAATAATTTGCTTAAAGGCAGTTCATCTCCTTTCAAGATCCTAAACTGCAGAGATGAAAATACAATTTACCAGTCATATATTTCTGAATTTATGGGCACAGCTATTGCACTGAAGTGGGAAATCATATAAACTTAACTTTTGAGAAGCATGTGGCCTTTGATTTGCAAATGTGCTTTTGATGATGTGAAAGAAATTAGATTTCATTTGGTGACATTGCAAGGCCTAACAAGGCACAACATTCAACGTTTGTGAATTCATGGTTTTTAAAATTTAAACCAGTCATTTTCCCCTGGCAAAATATGTGTGATTCATGGCAACTGCAGAATTTATAGTTAAAAGGTGATGTCTAGATGGAGAGCAAGAGCTGTATTTTCAGCTCTTAGGTCAGTGAGGAATGATATTTTTAAATGTTACTTATAGATAATTTTTAAAAGCTTTCTGTTTTCATGGCAGAGAAAGGACATATGGCAAGGTTACTCAAGATTTTGGGTTTTTTCTTCTTTGAGATCATAGCAATAACCACTGATAACTTAGCTGGCTGGTATGCTGTTCAGGCTCAGTGTGGACAGTGGCCAATAGGAATTAGTTATAGGAGAAAACACAAAGCTCATTCAGTGTGTGGTTTATGGAATAACAGAATGGTTTGGGTTGGAAGGGATCTTCAAAGATCATCTTGTCCTGTTCCAGTATCTCACCACCCTCATCGTAAAAAAAATGTCTTGCTATGTCCAGTCTAAACCTATCCTCTTGCAGTTTAAGACCATTGCCCTTTGTCCTGCCACTACAGGCCTTGGTAAAAATTCTCTCTGTTTTTCTTATAGCTTCCTTTAAGTATTGAAAGGCTACAATATCTCCCTGGAGCCTTTTCTTCTCCAGGCTAAATAACTCCAATTCTCTCATCTGTTCTTCACAGGAGAGGTGTTAAAACCTCCTGGTAACTTTCACAGCTCTCCTCTGGACCTGCTCTAACAGGTCCATGTCTTTCTTGTACTGTGGACCACAGAGCTGGATGCAGGTGGGGTCTCAGGAGAGCACAGTAGAGAGGAAGAATCTCCTCCCTTGACCTGCTGGCCATGCTGCTTTTGATGCAGGCCAGAATACAACTGGCTTTTTGGGCTGCAAGTACACACTGCTGGCTCATGCTTAATTTTTCATCTGCCAATATCCCCAAGTCTTTCTCGACAGAGCTGCTTTCAATCACTTCATCCCCCAGCCTGTACTGATACTGGTGATTGCTATGACTCAGGTGCAGGACCTTGTACTTGATCTTGTTGAACTTCATGAGCTTCATGTAGGCTCACTCCCTCAGCCTGTCTGGGTCGCTCTGAATACCATCCCTTCCTTCTACCCTGGCAACTGCACTACTTGGCTTGATATCATCTACAAACATGCTGAGGGTGAACTCAATCCCACTATCTATGGTATTAGCATTGGTCCCAATATAGACCCCTGAGGGACATCCCTTGATAGTGATCTCTATTTGGAGACGGAGCTGTCAGCTATTTAAAGGCACTTTTCTTAGAATACAAGAACTATCACTTCCTGCATTTAAGAAATTAGGCAAGGAAGGTGGGAAACCAGTATCTGAGCAAGAACATCCTGGTCAAACTGAAACACAAGATGGAAAAGTATAAGCAGTGGCAGCAGGAAGACACATCCTGGGAAGAACACAGGGATACTGCCCAAGTCTGTAGGGGTGGGATTAGGAAAGCTAAGGCACAACTGGAGCTAAATTTGGCAAGGGATGTGAAGAATAGTAAGAAGGGCTTCTACAGGTATGCTAGTCAGAGAAGGGAGGTAAACGAAACTGTACTCCTCAGTAAATGAGATGGGGAATCTGGTGACAACTACATGGAGAAGGCTGACATATTCAACAACTTTCCCCCCTCTTCTTGGTTTTCATTTGTAATTCTCTTTAGTCTCTGAATATTGGGAATGAAGTCCCACCCATCATAGAATCCTTGAACGGTTTAGGTTGAAAGGGGTCTTAAACCCACAGGCAGGGACACCTTCCACTAGACCAGGTTGCTCAAAGCCTTGTTCAACCTGGCCTTGAACACTGCCAGGGATGAGGCAGCCACAGCTTCTCTGGGCAATCTGCTAGTGCCTCACCACCCTCATTATCTCCCCTCTGTCAGT